GTGCTGTTGTCCTAATGGCTTGATCAGGATGAAAGGCTGGGGAGGGCCAGAAATGGTCTCTTTTCAACTGTGCACCCCCATCCCCAGCACCCCCTACCCTTGAAGCTCATCAAGTATTCACTGGCTGCGTGATTCTCAAAACAAATAAGCGTCTAATGATGTTGGTCTCCACGGCTGTATAATAAAGACAGCGGCCACATAACTGTTTGATTTGAACACATTAAACATGTGCAGGCCTTAGCAAATAGTATCTTATTTGATTCTCCCAAGAAACCCCATGGGAGAGGTGTGTTATTATTACTCCCATGTGGCAGTGGTAGGACCGGAGGCCACAAGGACTAAGGAGCTGGCCCCTCATCATACAGCAGGGAAGGACAGAGCAGGGCAGGGGAAGCCCAAGCGATTCCGCCCCAGCTCAGACACAGGGCCGAGCGCTGCCCCCACGGCGGGAGCAAGCTCGGTGATTTGAGAAAGGGAATGGGAATCGTGGGTGAGGGGCGCAGAGCCACTCAGTGTTCTGACACACTTACCACCAGGACAGGGAGCCAGGGGATCCATTTACAGTCCCCCACGTGGGCCATCCTTTCCCAGGGGTTCACCTGCAAAGACATGCGTCATCAGCACCAGGTGGGCACCAGGAGGGACTGGAGGCTGCAGAGCACTCTCCTCACCTACAGGCAAGCCCTGACCTGCCGAGCACGGGTTGGCACAGCCAGGGAGCCCTGCCCTGACCAGCCCAGCCCAGCCCAGCCCCCTGTGTAGTGGGCACTGAGTGAATGAATGCTCAGTCCTCGGGCCCGGCTACCTTCCAGGGTAAGGTGGTTCCTTGTGGGTGGGGTCTACTTGGTTTTGTGTGCTTCTCACCACAATGGAGAGGGAACACACAGCACCCCGATGGAAAAGGCAGGCTGGACCCTGAATCCCGGTCCCACGCACCTTGGGCGACTCCAGGGCCCTCACCAGTCTCACACCCATTCCTGGGAAAGAGCTGCTTCTTTGGAGGAGAGTCATTGAAAGGCCCACTGTTAAGCCCTGGGGTTAGTGACTAATTGTTTAAGATGCACAGAGAGCTGTGAGCAAGCCCGGCCTTACATAAGCCTTACGTGTGCTGCATGGCTCCCTCCTGCTCAGTGGGCTCCTTACATAAGGGAGGTTCCTGGGGACCCTGCCAAGTATGAGAATCTGGTCCAGGCTGTCTTCTGCCTCGCTGTTCTTCCAGCGCCCATGGTCAGCTTGTCTCTAAGTGGGGCCTCTTTTCTCGCTATGTTAAGAGCAGGCCATCCAGCCAAATAATGAGGAGAATGTTTTAAGCCCCCCAGTTTAATTTTATGATGGAGACCACTGAAACCCAGAGAACTTCAGTGGCTTACCCAAGGCCCCCTGGCTGGCAAGTGAATGGACGAGGACCAACTACGCTTTACGATGCGTCACACCAACTTCCACTCTCGTCCTTCTTTGAAGGAGGCGTGGAAAGCACCTCGTTCCCTTTCTGAATGGGAGACTTGTGCTTCCAACTCGAGATGGATCTAACCCTGGCCATCTGGGGACTGGCCTGGCTGTCCAGAGAGAGCGCGTGCACCTGTGAGTGCTCGGAGGGTCACCTTGTCTTGTGTTGACATGGTTTGTGACGATGTCAATGTGCTTGTTGGCCTTGAAAGATGGGTCTTGTTGGGGAGCTTTCCAGACTCAATTGCTGGTACTGATCGGAAGTCTAAATGGATGTGGAAAAACCTCCCAAGAACATTCACCCAAATCCTCTTGCCTGTCCCTTGGTCATGAGGACCAATAATGTCTGATGCACATACGAGGACACGGAGCTCAGCGCTGTGCAGGAGACTGTGATGAATAGGCTACCCATTCTTATTTCATTTTACTTTTTTAAAGGAGAAAACTTGTGGACTTTGTCCCTATGGCATCATAAAGGTAACAGGGAAAAAAGCAGCCCAAATATCATTTACTGGAAATAGACACATTAAATTAAAGCACAAGGAGGCGGGTAGGGCTGTATCAGTGAGAGGTGGAGAATGACTAGAGGCTGGCAACGGTCTCATGCTGACCTGAAGGAAGACCAGACTGGGGTGCTTGTGAGTGGGGCGCCCAGATGACTGGGAGGAAAAGGAGGCTCTCTGTGTGTAGAGAGACATGGTCTTATGCTTTTCTGAGTCCCCAAGGACATAGAACCTTGCCCCATAAAGTTTTCCAAAGAGACTGCACCTCGAGAGAAGGATGAAACACATGGATCTGCAGAAAGAGGGGAGCGAGGGACAGTATCTGAAGTGCTTCCCCCCTCAGTGGCTCCTAGCTTCTGCATGCCTCCCCTGAGCGTACATAAGTCTGGCTCCTCCAGGGACCACCTGTGCTCACTCTGCCGGGCAGCAGACCCCCAGACTTCCCCAAAGATGAGTTTTGACAAAACCCAAGATGATCATTTGAGTGTCTATCATGGGGACGAAGGCCAGGCAAGAAAAACCGCCAATGGAGTGCCAGTTCAGGGGACACCGTCTCCTGGATGTGGAAGATGTTGGCTGAGGAAGGGAGAAGGGTACTGAGGCAGGCAGGGGAATGGCTTTGTGTGTCTGTGCAGAGCGAAGGGTCTCCAATGACATCCATTAAACTTCTGATCAAGGTTTTCCGGCTGGGAGTGACGTAGGGTGGAGGTGGCCAAGGACCCAAAGGAGGAATGTGGGGAGAGCTTCCTTGTATCCCCTCTAGTTCTGTATTCTATCTTCATTTCCTAGGCAGGAAACAAAGGAAAGCAATACAGACATTTTGACTTTGGGAGAAAGAACATGCCTCTCTGGTTGACCTAAGAACAGGTTTGGGGGATGACTGAGCTGCCGAGAAACAAAGCATCCCTAGAGGAAAGAGATTGGGCTTGAAGATATGAGGAAATGCAGGGGGCCGCTGGGGGGCCTGAATCTTTCCCAGGGCTGGGGCTGTTTGGCCCAGCTATCTTGGCAATGTGGCATTTGGGGCAGGGCTAAGTTTCCAAATGTCTTGGAGAGGTTGAAGGAGCCCTTGTGGTGCAGTGGTTATGTGTTAGGCTGCTAACCACAAGGTCAGCAGTTTGAAATCAACAGCCACTCTGTGGGAGGAAGACGGGGCTTTCTACTCCTAGGAAGAATCACAGTCTTGAAAATCCACAGGGACAGGTCTGCCCTGTCCTGCAGGGTCACCTGAGGTGGCATACACTCGATGGCAGTGGTTTTGCTTCATTTATTTATTTTTGGGGAGAGGGATTTCAAAACAAACGAACATTGCCGTACAGAGCAGAACACCCCATCTTTTTCTCCAGGAGTGGCTGGTGGGTCCAGCGGATGACCTTGAGGTTTGTGGTCCAGCATGTAACCCGCTGCACCACCACGGCTCCTGTGCAGAGACAGCTTTTTCTGACTGCAGAGTGCAGCACGGCTTCGTGCGCAGCGGGAGGTTAACCGAGTCCCAGCTTTTTCTGCTGAGACACACTGAGCACAGTCAGGCGAGAAGAAAGCTTCCAGCCCCCCAGCTGTGAACTTGCTGGGCGTTTTCCTTCTAGCAGTGGGGCAGGCTGCCAAGGGAGGCAGAGGGTGCCTTGACGGCAGCTTCACCAGAGAGGGAGGGAGAGGTGGGACACAAGGCAGAAAGGGAAGCTAGGACCCCTGGCCTTTGGGCTCCCCAGGCCTCGGCGTGGGGTTGGCAACGGTGGGTTTCCACCAAGCCTGTCTTCGGGCCAGAGATATGCCTGAAGTGGGCCTGGGGCTGGAGGCCTTCCAGGGAACATCAGTGGTTTCTAATGAGAGCCGAGTCCTGGGTGCTTCCCTGTCTGTGCTGGGAAGGGCTGGGCCTGCCGCACTGTAGGGTCAACCAGGAGTCTTTGAGAGAGGCTCATTAAAATTATCCCCAGGTTGGCCCAGAGAGACAGGGAAGGAAAACAAATACATTAAGCAAAACACAAAGCCTGTGGCTTGGGATTTACTACTACTGCTACTGCTACTGCTATGACACCAAGTCTCCGTGAAGGCTGGTGGGGTCCACGTAGGGAGAGACTGTAGTTACAGTGATCTTGTTTGGATTCCAGTTCCGAAATTGTACTTGCCTTTAAAAATGCAGCTGTGAAACTATTATAGGGGGAAAGAAAAAAAAAAAAAAAAGGTTCCTGGAGAGTAGGGTGGGGGAGGGAGGGATTGTGGTCCCAATTGTATCACACTGCTTGGTGCGATTGAACTATGTTATGATATCTGCAAGAGCTCCCAATAAAATGATTTAAAAAAATGCAGTCATGCGGGCAAAAGACCAGCCCAGAAGGCTGAGATGAGCATCAGGCAGCTTCTGGGGAGGAGGGGCAGGCCCCTGGGGAGCTGCGGGGCTGGCTCTGCTCCAGCCAGACCTCCTGTTTGTTCTCACTGGGGGATTTGCTAAGAAATCATCCCCAATCCCTTCTTCAGTGCAGGCCTCTCTCCCCATCACCGCCCAATGCTATTCCCAGAAGGGCTGAGTAGGGACAAGCCTTCCTTCCTGGCAGCACGTTCTGGCAGTGAGGACAGTGCTGGGGAAATGGGGAGAGGGTCCCCACATAGTCTACAAGCCTGACCCCGTTGGGGCCTGCAAGTTCTGGTTCCTCCAAGAAAAAGCCTGCCATCCCTTGCTGCTCCTTCCCTCCACCTCCGTTCTACTGCTCTTCCTTTGGGCCATTTCTTCTCCAACTTGATTTCCACTTAGAATAACAATAAAACAACAAGCGTCCTACTTCTGATGATTGAACTCTGACCGACCGCTGGCAGGCACTGCTCTCCTTTCAACCTTACACCAACCACCCTAGGCCGTGCTTCTTCGCCCCCATTTCATAGACAAGCAAAGAGGCTCAAACGCTGGCCCGAAATTTGACCCAGGGTTTGCTCTCCATCCCTAGACTCCCCCATCCCCTCCCATTTCTTTCTTTCTGGTTAACAGACCTAAATCAAAGTCAGTGGGAAAAGCAGGGTAGAACTCAAGGTCAACTTTGGAGAGATTTATGAGATGGCGATGATTGGCTTGGCTTGTTTCTAAGCCCTCCCATGACTCAGTGGTATGACACACCAGCTCCCAGCCACTGCCCGAGAGCCCTATGAGGGAGGTGGAGGGAGGGAGAGAAGTTGAAGGATGCTAGAAGTTGGTCCTTCCTCTTGTCACCACCTTAGCCCTGCCTTTGTTCTCTGGTTGCTACCATTTCAGGAATGAGATCTTCCTGGTAACCATCATCTCTTTATCTTAGTCTTTAACTAGCATAGAATAGTCTGACTGCCTTATACCTGGGTTAGGTGGGCGAGAGAACACCCAGCCCAAGTCCCAGGGAGGTGTCTCTGGTCAGTGTGCTTGGGCTGGGGGTCAGGGAGCAGCTGTGCTGTCTCTGGGCCTTGGTTCCTCCCAGTCCTTTGGAGCGAGCTGTGGCTACCCCACAGATTTGCCTGGACCAAACTGGGTCTCCAACCCTCCCTTTCTCATTTCCCGCAGCCGTCTCTAACTCAAGACCCGATGAAGGACGTTGAGAGAACTGTCTCCCCAAACTAGGAACCACAGCACGTGCTTAAATGCAAGCCAAGTGGTTGGATGTCCACCAAGACAT